ATTTTTTTTTTACTGTCATAATTTATTCAAAATTATTCCTTTAAACTATCCGAATAATTGTATAAAATGAATATTCATATTTAGAAAGACGAGGTTCATTAGTTGTTATAAGTCTAATAATATCAAAAATGTAATTGAAATTGATACACTAGCAATCTCAAATTGATGGAAATTGCTGCCAAACAGTCTGTGATTATAAACTAAACTGAACGATAGTCTAATAAATATTGGATAAAAATATTTAGTTGAAAAATCGTACAGGTATCAAATATTACAATTTCAAATCACTGGTGAATGTTGTCGTGGACCGGCAGGTGGCACGACGCACAGTAATAATAGTAATAAAAAAGAAAAAAAAACAAACAAGGTGTGTTGGTAGTAGCTGGTGAGCCGTATATTCAACTGCGCGAACACTTAAACAATATTAATAATAATAATAATAATCAGGATCAGGCACAATGTAGCGAGTACCGAATACAAATAATAACAGGGTGCGTCGCGGGACGTACCGCAAAACTGAGAACTATATTTTCAGGTTAGATATTATGATGGCATGATATGATAATAAAATTTTATCAATGTTAAGTCATTGTTTTATTATAAATGCAAAATATTATTACAATATAATAACAATCAAATATGTCATCTTAATATTAATTATTTTATTTCGCTGTTCTCACTCTATCAGTATCACTATCACTAATTTTGCCGCGATACAAACTCTAAAAGGAGCATGCAATCACGTATAAATAAAATTCTCACTTTAAAAGTATCTTACATAAAATAAAATTTAAAGCGGTGTCCGGCGATACGTAGTTATCCGCGTCGTATATTATGTATAATATTATCCGCGATATTACGCGCCGTGTATTTACAGAGTTGTTTAAAATGAGGCGAAAAAGAATCTGTGCTTGGCTGCCTGCGCGCGCACAGATTACGAAGAGAGGAGAGTCGCATCTGTTATGCGTGCGCCCCGCACCATGCCCCGTCCTCGGATGGACGCGGATATTCAACGAAATAGGTCCTCAACCAAGCGCGCTCAATAAAGTTCTCACTTTAATAATTAATAAGATGATGCCAACAAAAGAGATCGTGTGGTCGGGTTTTGGTATGTGCGATGACAATTTACATAAAAGTGGCGATGCGACTGTACGGAGAGTTGACGAACAACCATCCGTTGACATTCCGACGACACTTGCCTTCGGCGGTGCCGATGCTCCGCTCTCCCCGCTCCTGTAGGAAGGTGCGAGGTGCGACGCGTTGGTATCGCGATCCGCGAACTGTCGGCTGATTAGGAGACTATAAATGCGGTCGGCGGCGTCCGTTGTAGTAACGGCCGTCGCCGGGTCCGCGTCAATGTTATTCTCTCTTTACATACTTCATAGTTTCAATAAAAATACGAGTAGATTCTCAATTACTTGTTGGGCTCTTTAACTTAGCAAATAGCTTTGGCCTATAAATTCCTCTATTAAACTAATATAACATTGACTAACATATGAGTAGTTAAGTAGTTATAAGTAATACTATACAAATAATTTTTCTTTGTGTGATTATTAACAATTACAATCACCTTTGTTTTGGTTTTTAACAACTTAATTGTGTAAATTTTAATCCCGGTACACACGTCCTTTTTTTTGCTGCAGTGTCACCGTAATGGTAGAATGCATACACATGCGTTTTTATTGCGATAATCGCATCTCAGGAGGTCAACCATTATGTCATCATAACATTTCAGTTGCCAGTCAATCACAAACGTTGGAGTTTTATTATAAAAAAATACGATTTTTGCATATTTGATATATAAAAAATATGTATCGGTATGCAACTAATATATATGAGTAGGTAAACGGTCACTTTTTACGGTCTATTGTTTAAAATGCGAAACGTGGACATTTTATACGGCAGGGTAAAAAAGTACGTTTCAGAACGCGGACACTTTGTATGGCTGGATAAAAAATTACGTTTCAGAATGCGGACACTTTATACTACTATTATTTATATACATATTATGTATATTTATACATATTATATACGAATAATATATATTATACATACATTGGTAGTGTGGACTACAGTATAGGTTAAATTTTGAAACTAGCATGATTCATAAAATATACTACGACTTAGTATTTGGGGTGTTAAGATTTAGACCTAGTCATAGTATATATTAAACATATAGGTAATGAACAGTAAAATTGTATGTTTCATTTCATAGTAGGTATGTTATGTATTATAATAGAAAATAAAATTGCAAAGATTTCTGTTATATAGATTAAAAATCTAAAAATAAAACTAAAAACAACATGTAAAATAAATATAATTTAAAAATTCGTAATTAGATATTTGTTTTTGTTGATGCTGGTTATTTACATAAATCAAATAATTTACTATCTTTAGCCATGGATATATGTTTCTTATTCAGTCTATTTCCACATTGATCCAACTGGATTGTCCGTAAAACTGCCCAAAAACTCGGATTAGTAGTTCTAACTAATTTGTTGAATGAACTATTCCATCCTTCACTGAAATCCGTTCGTTTTCTTTATTTAATTTTGCGATACCAAGTTGTTGAACTTGTCGCCTTGGCATAAATGAAAAAAACAGCCTTGAATATGGACTGCATTAAAAACTCAATTTATAATATAATATAAGTAAAGTTTTGCGTGGTTTTATCCATATTGCAGTCCACATTACCAATGTATATATATTATATGTATAAATGTACATAGTATGTATATATAGTACAAAGCGTCCGCGTTCTGAAATTTTTATTTTTACCCTATCGTACAGGTGTTCGCGTTCTGAAACGTAATTTTTTAACCAGCCGTACAAAGTGTCCACGTTTCGCATTTTTAGTGTTCGACCGTACAAAGTGACCTAGAACCAAATGAATACACCCGTTTACATATTCTAAATTATTAAGAGATGAATTTTATACTACATTTAGTGACTTAAAAGCGATTTCAGATAATTTTTTTGCTTATTATCAAATGAATTATTCGATCCTTTGAAGAAATAGCATAATTTTTTACCTATGTCAACGTAGTCAATAATTGACAATTTGCGGTGAAATATCGGACGTGAATGCATCAATTGATCATCAACAATGGTACTATGAACCGGATTTACGTATGGGTATGTCCACACTAGTGCGTTTTTGTTTTCACCTTTCGATTCCACTTGCGTTTCAACTTGCTCTTCGTCATTCGATAAGCGCATGCGATTGTTGAGTGCTTTAAATGCATGCTTCTTTCTGTCCACATCTGTGTCTATGCCAGCAGTCGTTTTTCACCGTGCGGTATAGTTAAAACTAAAAGTATGTCAGATTCAAATTTATTTTTAGGTATTTCTGCAGCGTACTATATTATCGCGAATGCGAAAAAAAAACGTGAGAAAAAATTATTTTAAAACAAGAAACTTCGGTATTATTAACGATTTGCAATTAGACGAAGACTTCCTGTTTGGAAACTTTACGCGAATGTCCAAAACAAATTTTTTTTCGTTATTAAAAATGATCGAGCCCGAAATTGTAAAACAGAATACCAAATTTAGAGAGGCAGTACCGCCTAACATAAAATTTCATGCAAGGTTTTGTAAAATATTTATACTCGATGATAATAATTAGAAATATAATATAATAAATAATTATTTTTTTATAATTAAATACAAATTCTGAGTTGGTTTTAGCTCTTTATATATTAAAACATACACTTTTTTTCTTAAGTTTAATTATAGTTACATACAATCTTAACATTAGTTAAGAAACTAACTAACTTTAGATACTAACTAATAAAGATTATGCAGTTACTTGGATTTAAAATTTAGGCTAATAATTCTGAGAAATTCCGTCTTCAGTGATTTGCATAATAATATATTAACTATCCAGGAAATCAATAATAAGTTACCAGTACATTTTATTATTTAAATTAGCTTTATAAAAATATTTATAAAATATTAATTTGTTGATGTAATTTATCAAGCCACCAATTTTATTTTAGAATTTCTATTGAAAACTTTATGTCCATAATTAAATATTTGTTTTACAACAAATGACAATAATTGGTAAAATATTATCATACTCTTTTTTTTGATACAAATAAATACATTCCTTATTAATAACGTAATACTTTACAAAACATAAAAATAACATTGATAATTATTCAAAGAGAACATTCAATAGTTTTTAATAAATCATAAATATATTTATATGGCATTTTGAGATATTTTAGTTGAGAAAATACATTAAATAATTTATTACAAGTTAAAACCAACAGTTAGGACCCACCAAAATCTATTGCGTCTTTACATTTAAAGTATAATTCAAGTTACTTAGGTTTTTTTTATATTTTTTTTTTTTTTAGTCATTTTATTTAGATCTAATAGCTTTAATTTATTAAATGTAAATTGTGCTACATAGAATAATTAAATAACAGCATCATCAAAAATCACTGTAAATAGCTATTTACTTTCAACACAAGTTTACTTAAAGTAGGTTTATAAATCATAAAATAATTTATATATATTGTATAATTATTTAAAAAATAAATATTTATACCTAAAAAGAATTCTTTTTCTTGTCTATTGAATTATAAGTAATCTACATTGAACTGTAAAATAATCGCTTTAAAATAAATACTGATGTGTACATATTAATAACATAACAACATTTGTAAAAATTAAACCCAAATTTAAAAGAAACTATACTAAATAACAACAAATCAATTAATTAAAAAATACCTTGTTTTTATTATTCTTATTAATCCATGCCAACTAAATGATATAAAATAGGACATGTACAAATTATATATACCAATAAAAAAAAAAAAAAAAAAAAAAACAAATAAATTAAAGAAGACACATAGAAATGAAATATTTATTAGATTTATTAAAACACTATGGCTAAATAATATTGACACAATTTAAGAATAAATTACAATAAATATAAGGAAATAATACTTCAGAATATGTTTTTTTTAAGTTATTTAATCCATTTTGGTAGAGCAGCTTGTTTTTATTTGAACAAAATTGCACCAGAATCTGTAAAAATTAATAATAATTGTTTTATATCATACTGAATTATTTAAAAAAAAAAATTTATTAACATTTAGATTAGAATCTTAGTCTATGGTTAAGAAAAATTGATATGAAGGTCATGCAAAATATAACACAAGTAAAACATATTGAAAAGAGCATTAAGTAATTTTACTGCCATGGGATATTTTATTTTAAGTGTTTTAAATAATTTATATACTTCTATTATCATCGCAGAAAATTTTTAATGAATTTAATGAGCAGGTGTAAGAGCAACAGGTTTTCCTATACTGTCTTATCAATGCGTAAAACTCTGTAAAATATTATTTAAAGATTAAAATTACACAAGTAATATATGAATGTATAATATATACTATTATTATACATTGATCAATAATATACATATAAAAATCAGAAAAATCATTAATTTACCTTCTGATATTCCTTTGTAAGGTTCAGAATTGCATATATGAGACACAACCCTGAGAAATTTATCACCACAGAAATAATATTCTTTGTTCCAATCTAAAACTATTATTACAAATGCTATCATTAGTTTGATATTAATAATTTATTTGAATTCTTATAGTATATTTTAAGATAATAAATTGAGTATTAACAGTAATTATACTTATATCATAAGTATTTTAAAAGTTTAATCATTTTTTAGTCATTTTTTTCTATATAACAAGTGAAAATTTCTGTTAATTTATTCAAATGTAGTAATATTGTGTAGTAATAATTATTACCCCTATTCTTGGTGAACGTAATATTATCTCCGTTTGTGGGTATGATAGCCGTAGTAATAAGTAAAAACAAAAAGATTGTTACTTTCCTGAAACAACAAAAAGTACATATAATAATATATATAATTTACTATAAATTTAAAATATGAATTATTTAGGAAATAAGATTTATAGTTTTACATTTACAGCTATATGTAGGCAGACTGGGATAAAATATTTATTTATGTTTTTGGAATGATTACTCAAATACTTACAAAAATTGTATTTGAAATATTTGTACAAATACTTTATACAAACTGTATTCTGAATGCACCATTTAGAATATTTTTAAAATATTTCTTGTTTTTTTTTAAATTTTAAAAATTATAGATGGCATACATATAATTTGAAATTGTAGCTTACAAATATGTTATTGTATTGCATTAAGAAAATATGAATAATATTAATTGAATATACATCTTGATAAATTAAATTGTACTCTTATGATTCTTTAATTATGATTAGGTGTAAGTTATAACAATTGATTGACAAGAGCACAATTCAAAACACTGAATTAGGCGAAACTTGTAATTATGGTAATTAAATTATATTTTTTTTGTATAAGTGATGTTATAGATGGCATTTAGAAACCAAAATCCAAATGTTTTTCAAATTGTAAAACGTCCAGAAATATACACCATGGTTCCATAATCAGCAAACACTCATTCAAAAAAATTTATATCAGCTTAAATATACATTTTATTGGCATAGCTATCTTTTTATGGTAGCTGGATTTTTGGCTGTTACTACAAAATTGGAATATAACAACCTTATCCCACTATTAATAATAAAACTATAAAATATTATATACCAACTTTTATATTAGTAAAAACATATTTGTAATATATACAATAGAAAAAGAATAAAATTAGTTAAAAAAAAAAAATGATTTTACATTTAAAAGGTATTTGGAAAACTGTACTCAGAATACCCGTTAAAAATATTTAAAATATTTGTATTGAATACTTAAAAAAAAAAAAAAAAAAATTTAAAAGTATTCAGTATACTCAAAAAACTATTTTGAATACAACCCAATTTTGTATTTAGGTATGCTATGAACTTTTAGCTAATATTTATTAAACATCAAAATTTACAGTTTTCATAGATATTTACAAGTTCAATAAAGTGCTATTAGTATTAAATTAAATGCACCAGAATCAATATTGTATTAGTACCTACTTATTAATAATGATAAGAAAATAGATTATAGTTTACTTACATGTTTAATTTTGCTTCCATTTTAATTTAAATTATCTACAACATAAAAATATTGTATTATTACAATGGAATATTTTAATAACTGTCCAAACAATATTATAAAAGCAATTTAATGAATATTACACAAATACATTTGAGTTAAACTCAGCGTTACAAATTTACAATTGAATTTATAAAATTGTCACATATTTGTCAAGATATATTCATTTCTACTTATCGTTTTGATTTTGATATACGACAACAGTGATGTTTTGGTCAAATGTTTTTTAAAATGGCCAGCTATTGAATAATAAATTACCGGAGTAATCGCTGGTGTTAAATGTAGACCAACCTCGATCGAAACAGATGTAAATCACGAAATACAAGTGTTCAGTGTAAACACACGATTTGTATGGCGTTAAAAACGTTTAGCAAATGCGAAACAAACACGTTTGAATCACAATAATTGTAAGGAAAAAATAACCGATGACGAGAACGTACACGAACAAGAAAAATGGAGACAAAGGATCGTCGGTCGGAGGCGGTACCAATAATACGTTACCAACAGGTTAACCAGATTTGTGAAATCTTGAACGAAAGGTGATAAATCGAAACGACACGGGCGGGATTTTAAAAATCAACTGGTACTTTGTCGCCATGAACACGATTTCGTAGTACCTGCTACTTAGACTCTTTCTGATAGGTGTTTTAAAATGATTCTACCGTACGTAATACCTATTTCAGGTCTAAAATCCTTGCTATTATAGCAATATAATTATAAATTGGTGTCTGGAATCAATCGTCGAAGATGGTAAAAAAGAATATTATAAATATTTAAATCTAAATTTCGTTTAAGATTCTAAATCGTTTGTATTTCGTAGAAAATTGAATGCCCGAGTGTATGTGTCAGAACCATTGAGGTACAATTTGTATTAAAAAAATTACAATAATGTTTTGATATTTTCACGACTTTTATTCAAATAATTGATGTAACAACATTGACGGCAGTCAGGTAAGAACTGATCCCGCCGTCGGCCGCGTTCTCGCGGACGTCGATAGAGACGCTCCGTGGTCGTTCTGATAACGACCGCGATACGGACGGCTGCTTACGAGTTGATTACCGGATTAATCTGTTCACCTGCACCGGATACCGTCGAGCTGATTCTCAGATCATCAAGAAGTACGTACGAGTTGATTCCCGGGTCATTATATATTTTATTTAATATTTAGTAAAATATTCAGCCTATTAGCGTGACTAAAAAAGTTTGCAACAATACTGGAACACATATTCTAGATTATGTTCAATTAGAAAAACGGCTATCTTACCATTTAAAATCAATTATTATAACCAACATAACATATACGTTATATATATGTCGCATCCACTTTGTGTAACCGAGATTTTCACGAAATGGATAGCCATTTCATGAACTTCAATCATATCGTGTAGGTAGGTCGTTTTTAGGTTCATGAAATGGACATTTATTTTATCCGTTTCGTGAAATGGAAACCCGTATTTTACACTTGATGTAATTTATTTAATTTTTACACTAAATGGATAACTTTTTGTGAAATTGACATTTTATCGAAATATACAGAATGTCATTGTCAATGAAATTATCATGGCTTTGCATCCGAATTAACCCGAAATTTTTTATTTTACAATCTTTATGTGATATATCATTTTGTATGTATTTTTTGTGGTTATTTCAATTTTGTCATTAGTTGTTTAATAGTATAATTATTATTCACAGGAATAATTTCACAAATAATATACTAAATTGTTAATTAATCTAAATTTATCGAAATAAAGACAATAGCAATATATCATATTAACAGGTGTGAATGAATGATATGGTATGTTGAATGTTCAAGTGTAAACAAATGGGATACTATTTTTAAAATTATCCCAAGCGGATATATCGTATTATTATAATTTAATAGCTAATAGGTCTTCTAAGAATCACCGAGTCGTTATTTATTGCAATACTGTAAGTTTGAAATAAAATTGATGTCCGTGTATGGTTACCTAAATTGAAGGGCTCTGTGCAATAACCAGACAGTTCCGTTTTATAATTTTTTTCAGGAAGCACATATTTAATACATATATATATATATATATAAGTAAAGAATAATAAAAATAAAAATTATTTTATATACTTAAAATAGTGATAGTAAATAGTAAAAAAAAGTAGTAGAAAATAAAATAGTGATTAGTAAATCCTTTTTTTTTTTATAATGTAAAAAGCTTACAAAGTATTAGTTTTTTTTTTAACCGAGTTAATAATAATTATTATTATGTACTTATGCTATCAAATAGCATACTTGAGGTTTAAGAAAAAAAATTAAACCTATGGTAAAACTAAGACAGCTCTGAAATTGTCTGGTTTTTCTTCGGAAAACAAAAAACCAGGTAGCTCCAAAATTATTATAATTTCTACCCGGATAGTCGGATTTATCTCGTTCTTACACAGAAAATCTAATAATAATTTTTTTATTTGAAATCATGACAGTACAAATTTCGCTAAAAGTGGAGATGTTTGGTTATTGAACAGAGTCCTTCAATTGTTTTTCGCGTTATTTGTATTTGTTCAGTGTATGGCGTGTATTGTCAATTTTTGTTGGTGTAATAATTTCATCGTAACATTCATAACTACAAATTATTATTATTTTTGTATTACGCTATGTCCTAGCTAGTAAGTTTTTAATGTGTGCACGCACCACAAACCATAAGCGGAAATTTGGTGAAATTTGTGGGGGGGTTGAGCATTATTTGCTTATTACACCTATAGATAGGGGAGACCTGGGTAAGTTGGTGACATTAAGATTTTAAAATTTTTAAATAATTCAATTTAAGAGATTCATGCGTATACGCGGTCGGATGGCCGGAACTCATTAGCGGCCTCGCCGGTTTTATTATGATTATGTAAATTGTGTATATTTTGTGCTATGCACCATGCTCTGTGCGTCCGTATCTTTGTTTTCTTTTTCCCCCGTTCGTAAATTATTAAAATAATCGCGTTATTTTTGTATTTATGTCATGTGTCGACCGTGACTGGTCCCTCAGTTTTTGTTATTGCTCAAACAATCCCTCTTTTTTTCCAATTCAAACACTGTATATTGCTGTATAGGGTGTAAATAATGTGACCGTATTGTTATTTTCTTTAGGGCTAATAAAAAATTTGTTATGACTGATGAAATTTATGAATGTATGCCTTCTACATCTACCCCAAAAGAAAATAATTTTGAAAAAAAAATGATATATGTAACGTAAAGTAAATTAATTATGATATATGTGAACATAATATAAAAAAAAAATTTGTTTTCTCACATTAGTTGTATCATGAATTTCAGTTTGTTACAATGTGAAATCAGATTCTTATGGACGAATCAAGATTTTAGAATTTTTTAGTTAATATTTCTTTAATAATAATTTCTACAATTTTTTCAAATCATTTTTGCTTTGTAGAATTTAAAAATACATGATATGTAAAACTAAAAATCATGTAAACTATGAAGGGTAATACACATTTAAGAACACAATTTTAAATTATTACAACTGCACAAATTAAATATATGTTACAGTAATAAGTGGTGGGCTTCACACTAAATACGCTATTTAAACTATGAAAAAAAAAAATGAACACGAATAATTGTCAAACTGATTTTATCATGAATTATTTAGTAAACAATTAGCTATTAAACATAATAATAATAATAATAATATTTTTAAACATATTTGTGGATAAAATTTATTTTTTAAAATGTTCTGTTTTTGGAATGTGTATTCGATTTATTACTTTTAAAATATTTTAAATCCCTTTTTAGACCTTGAGTTTGTGATGCTTCTGTTTATGTAAACACTCCTTTAAACCAAAATTGTTCACGTGCCTTTGGAGTCTCTTTTACTCGGTGACATGTTGAAATGAACAAATAAATTTTCGTGCTCCGATTGAACGAGTAAATTTTGTCTATCAGTATATTTTAAAATGTTATTTGTGCTGTTGAGATGCTCTACATCTGCACTATGTGGTTTAGCAGCGAAAACTCGAGAAAAAATAGTTAGTATGGTATTAAATGATCCAGATTAAGAGAGATGTTCAACAAAAGAGGCCATAGACATTTTATGTAGGTTGTCAATATTGCTAACTTCTAGAATTTCTTCATATTCAAATACAAAATTTGATACGTCTAAATTCCTTTCAATCAACTTATGTACTTTTTTTAATTGGTCTTGTGTCAATGTGCCTAAACTAATAAATGGCTTAAAAACTTATACTAATTCGTCATTAATGTCAATTCGGTCTAATAAAAAATTGGCGAAAATTTCCACTAATTCATTACAAACCGAAGTGACATTTCGTGAATCAGTAACAAATAAATGATGTTGGGTTCTTCTCTTCCTAAAAGTATCAGCATCAGTTAACTGAATACCTTTTATTTTATCTTCTTTCAATTGAGCTTCAAGTGTATTCACCCATCCACCAAGTAAATTATTTATACATAATGTTCGAAGCCGTTTAACAACAAACTCTGTCTCTTTTGTCAAATCTAAAATAGTTATAAAATCACTTTGTATTGTTTGTTGGTATCGACTGAAAACGAGTAGTGTATCTGTTAAAAAGCATAATAAATGCAAATTATTAATGTTGGTCAAAAATTTTAAAAAACCTTTTGATTCTTTTTTTTTAGAGGTTTGAAAAAATAGAATTTACTATTGAAAACGAAAATTCAGTCCAGCGTACCTGAAAACATTTTGGAATTCATAAAAGCTTGCAATCGTTTACTTTTGTAATATTCTCAAGTTGATGTGTGAAAAAATGTACATAAACTTGTTAATGTTGAAACTAAATGTTGTACTTCGGAAACTGAACTATTTGTATCTTTCCTTGCTAAATTGGATCTATGAGCAGCACACCAAATTGTAATTAATGGAATACTATTTTCTTTCAATGATCTATATTTTTGTTTAAATAATGTCCAAAGTCCTCTACGTTCGCCAGTATTTACAGAAGCTCCATGCGTCACAATTGATGAAATATTTTTAAAAACATATTCAGTCGCTTCGGCACCAATCGTGTTAATAGATGCAATTTCAACTGCGTCTAAGATTCCTTCAGCTCCACGTTTAGAAATCAGTCCAGCACCGATAAAATATTGATCTTCTTTTCCAGACTTGTCGATTACTTTTATTAATATATATATTTTGTCTATTTGGGATCTATCCACTGAACCATCACATCTCAATGATATAGTCAAAACATCTTTCATTAGTTTCAAAGAAAACTGGTTCCTTTAACTTGTTACTATATACCACCACTTTGTAAAAAAAAAATTGATTTATTCCAAACAAATCCGGCCGAGAAATTCAGTGTTTCTTAAATTGGTGAACACACTGCATGTATATGCAGGCAGGAGCTTACCTAGAAATTTTTTTTTGGGGGGGGAGTCTAACATTTTTATTTCATCTGATAATGGGAAATTAAAATACACTATATACTATTATTATACTATTTACTATTAAATGGTTGAATATTTAGAAATTTCAATGGGGGGTTCGAACCCGATCTCCCCCTTTGAGTATGCCCTTATACGTAGGTAATAATAATGACGATTAATAAAAACTCGTGACCGGACGCGGCGATATTTGAATCTTGGTCACGCAGTCATTTATTTAGCCGTGTGATCTTATATTGATTCCTATGTATGCGTCAGGAAACGCGCGGCTAACATTACGAGACTAAAAATAATTAGGCACGTACACGTAGTTGTATCAAGTCCTCTGTTTGGTTAGGTTGTACTTGTATATTCATATAAGTGTGTTTTAAAATATTATTATTATTAGTTTAACCATGTCCTCAACAAGAAAAAAAAATGTATCTTCTATAATAAGTAGAAGAAGAATAAGGAGTGGAGCAACCAGAGGGGGTAAGGGGTTGTGAGGCCTAGTATAATAACCTATATAATACAGTAGTGATCTCAATTCAAAATGTTTTCTTAGAACTTATTAAAATTATATTATTAGTTATTACTGTGGTGAACCATCACAACAGTACTCCCTCTCTTCGGTATGCCTGACGTGATTAGCACCACCGCCCATCATGACTAGTGACATATCTAATAAAGAACAGCTTACCATTTGTGTCCGTTATGTTCATTTAGAACAAAAAAAAAAATAAAAAGAAGATTTTTTACAATTTGTGGAAGTTACTGATGTAAGTGGCAGAGCATTAGCACAAACAATAGGTACTTCAAAATCTTGAAATCATGGGACTCGAATTAAATTAGTTATTTGGACAAGGCTACGATGGAGCGGCGGCTATGTCTGGGAAATTTAATGGAATATAAAAACGTATCAATGATAAATATCCGATGGCTTTATATATCCACTGTGGAGCACATAGCCTAAACTTGGCTAATTCATTTAGTTGTAATGTAACTGATATTTGAAACTGTATGGACACAATGAAATCTATATATAACTTTTTTGGTTATCCTAAAAGGCAAAATGTACTTAAAATATCAATTCAAAATAAATTACATGAATCAAAATTGAAGAACTAAAAAAATTTTGCCCTACAAGGTGGGTTGAGCGCCATGACGCTGTACTTGTGTTTCATGAACTTCAACCTACAGTTGTGGATGCACTTAATGAAATATCTACATGGAAAGGTACTGAGACTTCTGCTTTAGCTAACCAACTTAGTTCCTACATCCATCAATTAAGGTTTCAAGTAGCCTTATTGATATTACGAGTAGTAAAAGTATTTGCAATAACTGCTCCTTTGAGCAAATTTCTTCCAACTAAAAAATTAGATTTAGAATTTGCCCTAGAATTTGCTGATATGACTCAATCAACTATAAAACAAATCCGCGATAATGCTAATGTTGAGTTTGATAATATATTTAAAAATTTTGAAGATGTCTGTTCTAGTTTTTGTATAACTGCTAGTGTTCCAAGAACAACAAGTCGATAAAAAAATAGGAGTAATGTTATGAATAATAATCCAACAGAATATTATAGTCTCAATATTCATCCTATTTCTTGATAACTTTATTGAACAACTCCATGGACGATTTCTTAAACATATGGTTAAACTAAAAATTTTAATTGCTTATTACCTAAGACTAGCAAACAAATATCTGAACAAACATTTGAGGACATCAAAGTTATGTACAATTTTTATTCAAATATATTAAGTAACAGCAACAATTTGACTAGCCTAGAAGTAGGTTATGGTGAATTTAAACAGCGGTATAACAGTTGCGCATTCAAATTACCAAATTTGTCGTTAACAATAACCGAAGTATTTTTCCATTGTAATCCTGTTTTTTTTCCTGTAATCTCAAAGTTATTGCAAATATTAATTATACTACCAGTCACAATAGCTACTGGAGAGAGGTCTTTTTCTTCCTTGCGTCGACTGAAAAATTAGCTGAGAAATACTATTGGTCAAATGAGACTGAATGGATTGGCAGTCCTCAATATACACCAGGATATTTATGTTGATCTATTGATGATAATTGATGAAATGGCTAAAACTTCAAAACGAAGACTCAATACTAATCTATGAGTGTTTTTTGTTTGTTTTTTTTTAATAAATACGACGTTTATTGTTTTATTTCTTGTGATATATAACAATATTATATATATGACAATACTAATTGAGAAATTTATACAGTGTATATATTAACATTATTTATGTAATATTATTAACCAGGCAGCATTTTAGTTTATATGTATATTGTATTATGTAACATTGCAATCCCCCCTCCCCGGAAATTTTTTTCTAGTTGCGCCACTGAGAATAAGCCATCATAAAATATGTTCTGTCAAAAAATAAAAATGAAGTGCATGAAATTTACTTAGCCAGGGCATTTTGTGCCACACAGTATTCACAAAATTTCGAACTTTGAAAATTAAAATACGAATAATAAATTATATATGAGCTATAGCCGCGTGGCTCGTACGATTTGACTGCTCTCAAAGCGGTCGTTGCCGCGTGACGTTAGACACTTATGGTTAAGCAGTAGCGGATAGGCATATATTTTTTTATCGGGATAGAATTGGAAGGGCCTCAAAACCATCTAACACTAAAACCTTGCAAGTATTCCAATTCATATGTCTACGCCTAATAACCGCTGCCCCTTAGTATGTTATCAACAAAAACCTCCACAAAGACCTGAACATACCAACCCTCAACGACTCAGGCGCGATCCACGGGGGGGGGGGGGGGGGGGGGCGATGACCCCCCCATGAATTTTTTAAAATGATTACGTACAATTTGTATTACTCTATCAATTACAAAAATATACTTGTATACATTTTTTTTTAGATAAGATAAAAGTTTACGTTGTCTCGTAATTTCTAAATAAATAATAATTAGCCAATTTTAAATTTTAGACTTGTTTTATAAGTATATTTCATGTGCATTAAATCTATTTTTGTCTATTCGCCCCCCCCCCATATTTAAATCCTGAATCCACGCCTGCAACGACTTAGCCAAATCCTACTACATAAAATTGCATTCAAAGCTACGAGCTCATCCAAATCCCATAGTTAAAAGTATATCCTCTACCTCAATTATTCCTAGAAGGCTAAAAAGGCAATGGCCAAGAGATCTACTCAATGCCTAAAAAAAAAAAATGTTAACGCTAATTTCTTGTCAGGTGGCACTGCTGGGAGCCTTCCTTTTCTGTTATTAATGTTATTTTGTTACTATGTCATCTCACTTACTAATTATACCATTGTATAGATTGTAAATACACTATTATAATAATAATAAAAAAGAAAATGCGGTAATGGTTGGTGGGCCGTATATTAAATAAACGAACACCGAATAATAATAATAATGTAATAATAATCAAAACAATGCAATAAACGCACCGAATGAAATAACAAATATCAAACGAGGTGGTACAAAAAAAATTATGAAGTCGGTTTTAATGTGCGACGTACGTAAAAGGTGGCGATATGATGGGGCGAGAAGTTGACGAACAACCGCTCGTCGTTCCGCTGATACTTGCCTTCAGCGGTGCCGATGCTCCGCTCACCTCGCTCCTGAATGAAGATGTGGGACGCGACGCGTTGGCATCGCGATCCGCGAACCGTCGGCTGATTAGGAGACTATAAATGCGGTTAGCGGCGTCCATTGTAGTGAACGGCCGTCGCCGGGTCCCCGTCAACTATGAAATAATTAATTAATTAACTAACCTAACGTGGTTTATTGGCGACCGTTCCAAATTCTTCGAAACGTTTTACTAATCTCCAAATGGTGGTACGATTTGGACCAGAAGAACCGGGCGATTCAACGGCGTTTGTTCGATAGTATCTTTAACCTGTTAGTGGTCGAGCCAGCGGTGTTTACACCGCGCCTTTGGCAAAAATCATTTTCTTTAATTATAGTTATCGATAAGATAAGTATAACTCTCTGCTTTATAAACACATGCATTTTAACTGTACACATAAAGTCACTAGTAAGTAGTCACAAAGTATTAGTGAACATTAATGGATGTCGGTGCGGCGTGTAAACACCGCGGCGCGAATAAAATTGTTTTTCATCGATAAAGTGGAGACACTATCATGTAAGTAATACATTCTACAAAAAATGAATGTTTTTTCCATGTTATCAATATAACATATACAAATTATTATTTATTTATAATTATTATAAATAATGTAATATAATATTTTGTAATAATGCAAATGGAAAATACACGAATAACGTAAAAAAATATTATGATTTTCTTATTTTAGTCGCGTCACGCCAGTCGTGCAGTGCATTCGTGTATTACTGGCTGTAGTCAATTTGCATCAAAATTGACCCAAAATATTTACAACATGTGTAATTCGCACCATTTTTTTAAAATGCGTTTGTAATTTGCACCATTCTCAGGTAGTAAGAAATAGGAATTGTAATTTCCACCAAAATTAAAATCGATTATTTTTTCGATAGTATTTCGATAGTACAAACTTACTTATTTAACTTGATTTGAAAAATTTGTTTTTATAGCATTTTATGTTTCGCTATTTATTGAAGGTGGAATAACCTGGAAATAATAATTTATAATTTAAAAAAAAGAAATTTAAGAAGTTATACATATTAATTGCTGTTATACTTCACTGTTTTAATACTTACACGTTTTTTGTATTTGTATGCAACTAATTCAATGAATGAAGTTCTTGAAATCAATTTACTATTATACTGGTCCAAAGCAGCTTGAATTTGTTTCGTACGTTGACATGTTTGAGATGTTATTCGCGGAGTTAT